TTCTTAGTTTACGTTAGACCGTACCGTACGTACGACGTACACTTATTTACTTACTATACTACCTACCTCTCTCTCTCTCTCTCTCTCTCTCTCTCTCTTGCATATTTTCTCTCTCTCGCATATTTTCTTATCTTTTGGCTGTGTTTGGTTGCAATATGCCACAGATTAGGGAAGGGATTCAATCAGGAAAACCTTGTACAGTTCGGATATTAAATTACAGGTTAGCTTCACATCTTGTGATGCCCTTACTTTTGCTAGATGCTTATATGATTTGTAATGAGAAGGAAAGGGTCTTTTCTTTCTTTGCAATAAGAAGTGAAACTCATTCTTCTTCTTTTTCTTTTCCAATTGGAAGTGGCAAATTTCGCAATGTTGTTTTTTTTTTCTTGGCAATAAATAATGTTCAACTTTTTCACATCAGTATGGGGAATCTTACATGAGTTATATATCCTAAGTTAACATTATTGTGATTAATCAGGAAGGATACCACCTCTTTTTGGAACAGTCTTCACATATCACCAGTCAGGAATTCATTTGGAAAGGTATGTACCTTACAGTTACTGTGTGTGTTTTTATTTGTAGATATAAAGTTTGCTTGTATAAAATATGCATATAACATTATTACATCGAAGCAAATATTAGTTTAGTGAAGTGGTAATGAGACTCCATATGGGGATTTATTGCTTAAATCTAGGCCATTCATGCAAATTAAAATTAAGCAAAATAAGTGGGGGAGTCCCAACAAGCCCATTTCTTTAATCCTCTCCCCCTTCATCTCTCATATTTCTATTGATTATTAATCATCATGCAGTTTATGGTTCAAATGTGTTTATTGCTTAATTCTAGGCCATTCATTCAAATTGAAAATAGCGAAATAAGTGGGGGAGACCCAACAAGCTCATTTCTTTAATCCTCTCCCCCTTCATCTCTCATATATCTATTGGTTATTAATCATCATGCAGTCTATGGTTCAAATTTCTGTATAACTGAAAAATACAGTATATTCAAAGTTCTGAACTCTGTAATTCTGTGTATTTTCATCTTAAAATGGTACACAGTTCCATTTTTTCTTAGGGTTTGGAAGTTGTGCATCTGTAATTTTGCTCCTCTTTGACCTTAATGCCAAATTTTTTATGCTTATGTTTGCTGGTGCAGGTATCATTCTTTGTGGGTGTTCAGTTGGATGAAGCTTCCATGAATGAAGACCAAGGATTGAGTTCACAAATGAGACAACTTGGAGCTGTTGGTGCAGTTAAGGTAGCAGTCCGTAGCTTATCGGGTGCTGGGCATGTTGGCCCCTCGAAATCTCAACTCTCCTCCTGATCTTTCCCCATCACCAAGAAGGGAAAACAATTGTATCAGAAACTGAAATATATATGGGCAGTGATTTCATGCAGTGGTTGTATTATAGTATAATGCAACCACATTTCTAGAAAACCATGTTTGTGGTATTTGTATGATCCAAAATTTTTCACACACTCTCTTTATCTCAATAATCAGTCCCCAAAAAAAAAAAGTTCAATTTGAACTCTAGATCTGACCAAAATGAGACCCTTCCAACCATTCATTTGGTGAATTTGAAGATTTTAACCTCTACAAACTCAAAATAATTTATTTCTTTTTTAACATTGTCATATAATGATAATAAAATCATCTAAAAAAATTGGAAAAGAAAAAATCGTTCTAAAGCTTAGATCTAAGCATTTTATCAAAATGGACGGTCTATGTTAATTAGGTTAAAAAATGCTTTCTGTTTTCAAGTTTTTTTCTTTTTGTGATTGTTCATTAGAATGAAAAAAATGTATATTTTAAATTTTGATTCAAACAAATGGCTTTAACATGATTTTTGGAAGATTGATGCATTAAACTATGATACAACTGTTGCATGAAATCACTGCCCTATCGAAAGAATCTTATGGGCTACATAATTGGCCTTGTTCTTTTCCTTTCTTTTTTGGTTTTATGGATCACAAAATCCATGGGTGTTATCATCCTATCAATGTAAATTTTATTCTCGCTTTTCTTTCCTTTTTTCCTTTCAATTGTCCCAGTTGTGAGTGTTAATGAGATCCTTCTGAACCCATGATGCACTACAACATACATTTCAAATGTTTTTACTTTTTTCTATAATTTGGTGCAGTTCATTTTCTGTTTTCAGCAGGACAGTAGTATAGGAAGGCACATTTGTTCTAAGCAGAAGTATCTATTCAGATATAAAAAAATTTATATAAGTGCAAGGCTCTAAACAATCAAATTGGTGCGCACATCAAAAATTTCATGAAGAGGTGGTTTTAATGGCCAAATTTTCAAATTGATCATCTTTATCTCAAGATGTATGGACATGAGAAAAAAAGATAGATTTCAAGTTTTGAAAGTAGTGCGTTTTGTAATGTATTTTTGGATCGCCAATTTTTACAAGTTTTGATAGATTTGCTCAATCAATACTATTTTGGATGCTTTAAATTTTATAATTAGAAATGAAAATATATTTTAAGGTTATCACAAAGATTTTCATACCATTTAAAGGTGTGCTTTTTTTTTTTATTGTTTAGAGCCTCGTCTTTATATAAACCAATAGATATTCTCCCCTTGATCATGTGTTGTAGAAATGCTGGGGCATGTGTTTGTGCGTATGCACTGCACAGGTGCGGACGTGCTAGTTGGGCCCGATGATTTTATCTTCTAAAAGAAACCGATTGTTATGAGGAGAAAGGGCTCTAGTCAGAGGTTGTTCTTTTAAATATTATTGCATGGTATGTATTGTTTTAAATGGGAAAAGTCATGAAAAGTATTAAGAGTATTTATTTTGGTACAAAGAGGTTATAATTACTCTTGTTCATCGTATTTTAAATCTAGTGGTTGTAAGAGTGTTTTTTATTAGACTTAAAAGTTTTTTAAAATTTTTTTTGAAACTTCGTAACACATCTTGAGCCTTCCAATTTGACATCTAATGGATAGAATGATTTCCTTGCAATAAAGATAAATTGTCTTATAGTATATAGTCCAAAAGTTTATCTAAGGTAGTAACTTTATAAAAGTGAGGTATGGTTCAAAATAAAATAGAAGAGCATTTTGACCTTGACATGTATAGATATGAAGAAATGAAGAATTTCAAGTCATAAAAATAACGCATCTTGAAAAATTGTTAGGGTGGTAGCTTGTTAAAGTTGTAACCCGAAAATGTTGTTTCGATGCCAGTAATCCTAAAATTGATTCTCTTTTTACATCTAAGGCACTGTGATGATTATGGCTTTTGTGATATTACCTGCCTTCATAGCGTGGATCCTTTGTTGCAGATATTTGAGTCTCTGAGGTTGGAAAGATTATGTCATTTGATCTTTAATGGTTCATTATGTTATGAAAATCCCTCGGCGGATGTGACCATGAACCGTCACCAGCTAACATGCAATTGCATAAGTTTTGCCACTATCCCTAGTTAGAGGTAAGTGATGTGCTAGTGATTATCCGGGCAGTTGAGAATCTATTAATGAGATGGATCACTTTGTGAGATTTCGTAGTGACTCACTGCACCGATGAAATGACACTACATGTGATGGGTATATGTATGACATAACAATAGAACGTATCCACTACTCTTTGTTTCTAGATACCTGGTGGGGTGATTATGTAGATCTAGAAGCATATACATGAAGTTTATGAAGTGGTTGATGATCACGCAATACGTCACGTCTATTATGAGCATGGGAAAGTACATGGTTGATGTCATTGAATCAGTAGATTGTATGCGCGGTTAGATCGATCGCTTGAAGATGTACAACTCAAATGATCATGTATACCTTCTTTTTTTAATGGATGCATGTTTTGTTAAGCTAAAATCATGTCGAAAACAGTGGGGTAATGTTGAGCGTGGTTTTCTCCATGCCTTTAGCGGCAATTTTGAAATAAATGAAACTATTTTATTTTCTTTTCTAATAACCAAAATATTATTTTACTTGGCCCCTTTCATTCCACATTTTTTAAAAAGATTGTCTATAAAGATACCATTTATCTTTTGTACATAAAGGTCACAATCATTTTTCCAAATGGGCGATTGCAAGAGTGTCATTGAATAAACATAAAAGTTCTAAAAAAAAATTTCAAAATAGGCTGTTGCAAAAATGTCATTGAATAGACACAAAAGTTTCTAAAAAAAGAATTCTCGGACTTGGTGACTCACTTCAAGTTATCCAATTTGACATCCAATAAGTTTGAATGATTGAGACCTCTATGTACAAAAGATAAATGGTCTTTTTGTAAACAATCCCTTTTCTAAATGCCTTCCATTCTTCTTTTCTTACCGTTGAAGCAAATACCTATATACATGGAGGTAGTGTTTGAGGAGAGTGGTGTGATGCACATCTCATTCTCTCTCATCATCCTTGTTCTCTCTCTTTTTCATTAAGCATTCAGATGTGCATTGAGCCCTAAGGGACACTCTAATCATATATTGTGAAGCCATTTTGCTCCATTACCTCTCGATTCCTTTCTCTTTACATTGCTACTAATTCATTTATGCTATAGATTTTCCATCAAGGTTCTGCAATGCTTATGATGCTTTAAAGGTGTGGATTTACTTGATCTCTAGTTGCAACCTATTGTTGCAACCTATTGTTGAGTTCGTTCCATACTTGCATTTACTCATTTTGGTGTGTTTGATGATTATAATAGAGGATGATAGATTGTAGATTTGAATAGATCTTTGAGAAACTCTTATTATAGATATATGTTTATGCTTCTTATGTGGTTGAAGTGATATGCATATGAAGTGTTTGTTAATATATTCAAATAAAGTTTAAAGATAGATTTTGATATAAATCTCTTATTGTATTAATCTATATCAGTAGCCAACTTAAAATCAATCATAATAACAAGGAGTACACTGAAAATACAACTTATAAGCTCCTAAACATGAAATGTATGTACACTGGGCCAATAAACAAATAAATACACAGTATAATAAAAAGCATTGATAGTAGAAGGCATAAGACTAGTAGCTGACATAGCAAAACATCTCACAAAAGTATGCAGGAGGTGGGCGCCATTCGCAATGGTTTATGGCCTAAGAAGTGGTGTGGAGCATCTGCTGCCTATGATTGTTTTAATTCTTAACATGAAGATCAGATTCTCACAAACAAGAAGTAATGTACGAAACAAGTGGTTCGTACTAACTTGAAAGTGCCTAACACTCTAGTGGAAACATGACTATCATCTTCTGGACTGCGTCCAGAATCTGCATCCTCCATACAAATAACATAAGGTTTAGTTCTTAACCAAACAATAAGACATGAAATCCAAAAAGAGCTGCTAAGGGATTATATACTGGAAGGGGATTGGGGTTCCATTTGTCAGGGTCGGTGAGTTCACCTCATGATAGGTTTAAGCCAAGACATGGATATTTTTTCTTGTAATGAGAGATTCTTAATGTGGATCGAGATATTTTTTATGTGAGAATTTCTTAGGCCTTGTGTGAGAATGATAGGCTCTAATAGGTTTTGAGAGGATATGAGCCGAATGCCTGACAGTGTCCCTTCTCACAATATGTGCATAAAGAGTCGCATTTAGAAAGCCTCTCTCTCTATCTATCTCTTTTTCTATCTCTCTCAGGTTGATCCACTAGAGAGATATGCATATGTGCTAGAGATAGTACCCCAACATCCCAAGAGTATATATCCTTAGGGGTACGTCTATAATCAACTATAAATTTGGGACTTTGTAATGTACTTGTTAGCTTTGATAAGCCGAGCAGATATGCATATGTGTTAGAGATAGTACCCCAACATCCCAAGAGTGTATATCCTTAGGGGCACATCTATAATCAACTATAAATTTGGGACTTTGTAATGTACTTGTTAGCTTTGATAAGCCGAGCATGAGTCCCCTGCTAGAAACTCTGGATTATGAGTTTTGTTAGGCTATTTCGAGAAAGCGACCTAGGATCACGGATCTTGCCAGGAGTGTCCCATTAGTCAAGAATATTTCCATAAGGATTCTAATTTCTTTTCGGAGAATTTTTTTTGTGCCTAAGAACTACTGTGAATAGCTACAAATTACTGAAATGATTTTTTGAGATTTTAAATTTTTTTTGGAATTTTCTTGGTCACAATTTAATTATGTGTTAAAACAAATTCACTTGAGGACACAAACTATGGGACCCAAATGGACAATGGTCTCCACGACCCAAGTCCACATGGCCACGTCAGCCATGTGGCTAAATGTGTGGTCGACATCAGCCACATAAGAGTGGTCTGCCTGTCGTCAAGGAGTTGTTTGGTATTTTTAGATTTGTTCCAGTGGTGCACATGTGTGTGTCTAGCCTAATCACCCTTGATATTTTCCTTGACTTAAGGAGCCCAAGCCAATTAGAACTTAGATCTAAAAGTTGTTTCTAAGTTGCTGATGTGCTCTTCATTAAATGTGTGAGAGTATGACACTAAGTG